CTCTATAGATGATGACGTAAATTGTACTATAAATGTATGGCTTTAAGAACCCTTCGGGGTTCAAACTTCTGATGCTGATTTTGGCATGTTTGAACCTGCGCAATAAACTTTTCCTATATTGCATCGCTTGGCTTCCTGGTCTCTTAATTCTACTACATCATGGCCGTGGCACTGGTGTGTTGCTTGGTCTCCTGCTCTGTTGTGGTCGCAAGCAAGCAGAAGTAGTCTGGTGGCTAGGCGGGCCTGCTGGATGGAGGTCCTGGAGCCGCTGACATGAGGTGAGGCACACATCAGGACATGGGTGGCCTGGCAGTAGCACCAAGCGGTAAGCCAGTTCAGGGCACGTGGAGCAGCTCCATCCCCACCTTGCAGCAGTGGCACTGGCATGCTGGGTTGCCTCCTGCCCTGCTGCGATCAAGCAGAAAAAACGGGCCCCTGGACATAGGGAAAAAAACACCCCCAAAAGAAAATAAGACCCTCATTTTTGGGTAAACATGGGTATGTGTGTATGTATGTATGTATTATGTATGACTGAGTAATGGGATTTTATCGCTGTATTAGATATGCCAGATTGGGGATTTGAAATAGGTATAAAAAAGCAAGGTTGACTCCCAAAATTATTTATGGTTGTCACCACAGTAAGCATTTTTTAAAGGAGAGAAGTGATATTAACATTTGGTAGTTGATTCAATAGTTAATTAGTTGACATGCTAATTCATTGACTTTTATTTTTTGAAAGAGAGTCTAAATTGAAATCAAGAGATGATTTGGTGGGTCCTAGCTGTTCCTCTACCACTTTTAACTTTCTGGTCACTTCCTAAATTTCTTTCTCAGATTGTTAAACCATAGGGAGCTCTTCCCTCTCTTATCTGATCATTCCTTAGGCAGAATCTCTTTCCCTCATCCCTTAAGGTCATTCACACATTCCATTACAGTATTTTACAAGACAAAAACCAATGAAATTATCAATGGTATTTTGTTGAAATGACATAAAGATCAATGATATTCTTATAATACAGGCAGTCCTTGAATTATGATCATTAGTTCAGCAACCAATTGAGGTGACACAGTGCTGAGAAGGGGATTTATGATCCCTCTTTGAAATTCAATATAACTTTCTAATAGGTGGCTTGGGTAATGAAAGAAAATGTTTGGGAACCACTGATTTAGACTATCAAGTACAATAGCCTGTTCTGTGCAGAAGTGCAAATCAAACCTTAGGTGACAGGTGGAAGTCCAGGCTTTACCTGAACAAATTCAGTGATGGGAGAATACTGCTATCTTGTTATTTGGTTCTACTTTCAAGCTGGGTTTTTGGTCTGTGTGTGTGTGTATGTGTACGCACGCTGATCACAGACTTAAATGATACTATAACTAAATGAAGTAGTAATTTTGATAATGAAACAAAGAACATTCCTTCAGATATCATTGAAAATACTTCATCCCTATTCCAATTTTCTCTCAATACCCCCTCATAATATTAGATTTTTATTTGGGAGACCTTGCAATTATAGTGTGCATTTAAAAAACTATTTATGTTTTTATATTTTATAAAAACTAGAGTAAGGATAAAATGAATTTACCTTTAGAATGATTTTTTCAAAAACTAGTAGATTTTAAAACAGCTTTTCATTCAGAACAGATGCACTGCAAAGGTTAAAGAAGTTCAATGAAATTGAAACAATTTCCAATTTGTAATTGAATGCTTAGGTCTACTTCTAAACCGCCTGCCAACATCAAATTAATATGTAAAAGAAGAAGATTACTTGAATTATATACAGCATCCTTCCATTTCCTTAAATGTGATTGTTTGTTTTATCATTGTACAGCTATCGTGATGCACAGAGGAGGAAAAGTAATATGCTGCAATGATTACAAATGTCCATTACAACTTTGTCCACAGAATAATTATTGAACTGGTCCTATTGAAACATTATTCATGACCACAATCCCACTGTTATGCATATTACCTAATTGTAAAATAACCTGTAAACAGAAAAAGTCTTCTTTGATTATCTGAATTACACAGAACACACCCTTCCCAGAAGCCTAAAGAGAATAATAGAGGCAATCTATGCTATACAAACAAAATTACAGAAAATTTCATATGAAAAGACCAAAGATCATGCAACTGAACTCCTGTATCATATAAAGAAGTACTAAAATATATTCAGTACAAAACAATATTTAACTTACTTACCTTGCATATATCGATGGCAATGTTGAGAACTTAAGGGAAAGAATTTTTCACTATTGTTAATGGATAATTCTTTGCACACAGACCATATAGTATCCTATGCATTCTTGTATTTTCAAAAAAAGTTATAGAGAAGTGTATAGTTACAGTTTTCCTTTTCAGACCATTATCTTTGTGTTCTCACCATGTTCATTTGTGTTCTGCCATATGGATACATCATTATGGTATCTTTTGTCTTTCTCTTCAGTCACCAGGGAGTTTTGTTCACTACTTCCATTACTATAATCATTTGTTACAGCAAATAGATGCAGTCTATTTTTTACCTCTTCACATTATTTACATTTCCCTGTAGATTTACTGTAGTTATAGTGTTTTGTGTTATGTGGACTGTATTGTAACAGACCATAGTATTTTTACTATTGCCTCTACAGTCCAATTTGATTTTTGTACATGGTATTAGTAAATAGTTGGAATATTAGTTGTGTGTTGGGGTGATGGGTTGAGGAAGAGCTGTGGTAGAGTATGCTGCAAAGGCTGTTTCTGAGTCCTTAGGGGTGGATCCTGAATCCTCAGAAGGAATATGTATTAAGGGGCAATAGGGAATACGGTATTCACTTGTGAGACCAAATTGAATGTTAAAATTCAGTACTAAGCAATCTTTGGCTGTATTCTGAGTTCATGGGTCTACTTGGGTCACCAAGATGCTGCAGGTTATAAAATGGGTTAACAAAGATCTAGAGGTTTTGGACATTTGAAAGCAAATCTGGATGAGCCAGCTTAGAGCACTTTGGAACAATTCTACTATGGCTTTGGGGGTGGATAAAAGAGATTATTCTCTTTCATCATTGCAACTGCTGGAAAGTCTCCCTGCACCCTGATTTTACACCAGTATTAATACCATGGGAGGTAGTACTTTAATACTTGTGTTAAGATTTTCAGCAACAACTCTCTCTCTTGCTCTACATACACACATACCTCTACACAAACAAATGCCACTTTTCTTGCACAAAATTTCTTCCTTCCAGGAGCCAACTATTATTAATATGCATGCATGAGCATACCACTCTGTAGTAAAATTAATTGGGGATGAAACAATCTTTATCTTTATGAGCAATGTAGGATGTCATTTTTACCTGTTTCTATTGCTTGAAATCCAGTCAGAGATTAGAGTTGCAGCCTGCTGGTGGCAATGCTTGTTACCAAAGCTACATGCCAGCATAATCACTTCACGGCGGAACTCCCTGTGTATCCCAAAGACAAAACTAGCATTAATCTGATGTTAATAAATATATTCTCATTCTCAGTTGCCAAGTTTTAAACCAAAGTTTCTCAAACTTGATATATTTAAGATATGTGTACTTCAACTCCCAGAATTCCCCAGCCAGCTGAAGAATTCTGGAAGTTGAAAGCCACATATCTAAATTTACCAAGTTTGAGAAATACCAATCTAAACTAATATTTAATGAGGACATCCATATGTACAATGTTACAACTATTGTTCAATAATTATTAAACAACAATGAAGCAGAAGTGATGGCCATGAAGCATCTCAACCTGTCAAAAGTTATATTGTAAAATGCAGCCAGAATTAAATTACTGTTAGAAACAATAATTCTTTGAAATTCTAGAAAAAAGATGGCAACATCACAATGTGAATTTAGAAAATTAATTTAAGCCTTCCAATCAGCTCATGTGCTAAATAAATAGAAGATATAAAAGTTAAATCTGATTACTTTGAATTAAGTTTAGGAAATTCATTTCATTAAGGCTATTTTGCAACAATTAAAAAATAGAATTACTCATGCTGGTAGGAAGCTTGAACCAAAGATTTCTCCAAATTATTCGTTGGCCATCCCAGCTTTAGATACATTGAAGCAACTTGTCTCAAAATGTACTCCTGAAATGAGAAAAAGTCTCTGCATTAAATATTTTCATAGTCAATACGGATGTTACATCCTTTCCAAAGCAAGCAAATGTCCCACAGACTCTCCTCTCCATTTTGAAAGAGTTGCTTTAGCCTACATTATCCATAAATTCCTTTCCTGCATGTTAAAGTTTATGAATAAAAAGACGAATATCACATTTTATAACTGCTGTGATTTGAGTGGGGGTTTTCTTGATCAAAACTACCTTAACTTTCTATTCCCATTATCACAGCTAACTTATGGGTTTTCAATTGGTTTTTCACAATTCCTGGTTATTGCCACATTTTAAAATTACTCTTTTTAATTATACATGGAGTGCTGTATTCTAGATATTGATCAATTTGTCCATCAACACCTCTTAAGAATTAAAATCATTTTTAGTATGTTGATTTTGTGTTCATATCACATTCAGGAAAATCAGAAATTATAGTTTTTGCAGTGCTATCAATGCATCATAGTGGCTATTCTTGTCATAATATTGCTCTACAATGTGCTGCAATGTGCTCTACATGGGGCTGCCCTTGAAGTGCATCCGGCGGCTGCAGTTAGTTCAGAATGCGGACGCGCGAGTGATAGTGGGCGCACCGCAGTTCGCCCACATAACACCCATCCTCC